TGTCGGGGTACTCGGGATCCGTGTCCCGGTCGCGTAAAGAGGGTGGCCGCGATCGTCGCGACCGAGATCCATGAGAGAATCGACGCGACGTACCTGTGCACCGCGGTACGATGCGATAGCTTTCACCGGCCAAGTGCCCGACGAGGTCGCCGTCGAAGTGGCGACGGCGGTGAAGGAGGATCCGTCCGCGTGCCGCGAACACGAGAGGAAGTGCGACAGCGGCAGGGCGAGCTTGGTCGCCCCGTGGCTCGCCTGCAGTATGCTCAGGATCTGCGACAGGCGGATATTATGGCTGCGGGTGAGGCCAGCACGGCGAAGCCTCGTCAGGAGAAGCAGTACGACTACCTGCTCAAGTTCCTTCTGGTGGGAGACAGCGATGTTGGCAAGCAAGAGATCTTGAGCGGTCTCGAGGACGGCGCCGCTGAGTCGCCGTTCTGCAGCGGCAGCGGTAGGACTTTTCAGTCTCTCAGTATCGTACAACTTTCCCTGGGCCTTCTCAATACATGTAACAAAATATTAGACCTACTCTTTTTAGCTCAACTTCTCGCACGGTTCGTCTTTCCTCTTTTTTTTTCATGTTAAAGAAAAAAAAAGTTAATTATGATACATTGAAACTTGTAATCTAGCAACACAGTAATACTTCTCTATATAATTCTTCTTTTTTTTTTTCAAAGTCATTTAAGACTCGTGTCTATTTCAACTAGTACAGATTAATCTTGATTTACTCCTTATCTTTTTCTTGGAAAGATGGAAGAATTAGAAAACGCGATTGAATAAATAAAATTGAGATTAAAGTTAATTTATTTTTATAAAAATAAACATTAGAGCTGATTGTTTAACTTTTTCAGCTTACAAGACTACCACCATCCTACTAGATGGAAAACGAGTCAAGTTACAATTATGGGATACATCGGGTCAAGGTAGATTCTGCACAATTATTCGGTCGTACTCCAGAGGTGCTCAAGGTATACTCCTGGTATACGACATTACCAACAAGTGGTCCTTCGATGGCATCGATAGGTGGCTGAAAGAAGTCGAAGAGGTCAGATTTTATTTGACGAGCTATGATTCCAATGCTTCCGACAGCATGCAAAAATGTATCTTAACGTGAAACTTTACAGCATGCTCCTGGCGTACCGAAAGTACTGGTTGGCAATCGTCTGCACTTGGCTTTCAAAAGACAAGTGGGTGAACGAGATGCAGAGGCTTACGCGGCTAAGAATCGAATGGCCTTCTTTGAAGTCTCACCTCTCTGCGATTTCAACATCCGTGAGAGCTTTTCAGAGCTCTCTCGGATGGCGCTACACAGAAACGGCATGGAAAGATTATGGCGATCCAATAAAGGTATCGATCAGTGATTTCTAAAATCGATATTTAGTCAATCTACTTTAAGAGTAATGTCTTAAACTGCTAATGTGAATTGGTGATTTGCTTATAACTTATTATGATATTAAAACTGTATTTAAGATAGTCTCTTTAATATAAACACCGGCCTAAGATCTAGGGATCAAAACAATGAGACATAATTTACTTTGCAGTGCTCAGCTTGCAAGAACTGGCGTGCCGTGCGATAGTGGCTCGAACGACGGTTTACGGTATCGACCAACTACCGTTGCCCAAGTCAATCAAATCGCACTTGAAATCATACGCGATGACGACCACATCCCAGCTGCGCTACAACGGCAACCGTTCGTTGAGTTCGAGCAAAAGCCTGGGCTCGCATCATCGGAAGTTACGCTTTGTCGGGGTGGGTCACAATAACGGCGGGCTGTCGACGCCTGGCAGCTCGCCCGGCAGCATCGCCGATTCCCGCACAAGTTGCGTCGGTCGTAATTCCTGCACAGTGTCTTGAGAGCGACAAAGGACAGAAATCAGGGTAGCGGTTACTTACAAAAGCGTCGTGCAGCAATCAGCGTTCTTCCTTCCCTTTTCCCTCTCCGTTTTATCGAGGATGCAAACACGTTTACAATGTTGTTTCACGATTCATAGTAATTACTGTTAGTATGAAATAGTATAAATATATGAAATTACAATTCGTCACTTGCCAACGTTGACGGGATATACTTGTTGCGTTTATATCGTGAGATACATTTCATATATATTTTTTCACACATCCGCAAGCCGCGCACACAGTTTTACCATCCGAATGATTATTAACGAGCTTAGAGGAGACGAGCTGTCATGTATCCGTGCCATCTGTTTACGAAATTAAGAGAGAGAGAGAGAGAGTCGCGGCACGTAAGCAAGGAAATTGTTTAAACGTTACCGAGTTTGTTATTAATTGTAAAGCTCTCGCACGAGTTTTCATCGCGTAAAGATAATGTATCAGGATTACAAAGGTTTATAAAATACGCGATATATCACGCGACATTACATTACGCGACTCGAGTGTGCCCATATTTTAAAATCCTTGTAAGCCGCTTTGTTTCTTTTGGCCGTTGTTGGAAAAGCATCCCTTTCCACAAACGTATCTCTCTGTGCGGAATGTTTTTTCTTCGATCATAAGCTTACGGGAGCAGCGAGTAATGAATTGAAAAGTACAAGTTCGCTAAGTCTACGGTGGTTGTGGTGTAGACTAATGATGATAGCGTAAGTGTAGAAAGTTAGAGCAGCTAACTCGAGATATATTTAGCAACATATATAAATATATATTTTCACTTGCTTACGATGCGAAAACCGTTTTATCGGAAACTACCGGTTACCGAGCGCGGAAGAGCTATATATTTTTTAAGAAGACGGTTTTATGAAGAGCAATAAAATTGACTCTTTCTACGGCACGACTTTTTACTATTGCATTCTGTTGATCGAGTGAGATCAGATGATTTCCTCATTTTTATCTTGTTATCACTCCCCCGATAATATGATAATTGTGAATCGCGCAAAGCGATACGATCTTTATTCTCATTTTTAACGAGAGATAAATCCAGACCTCCCCCTTCCCCAAATACGTTATTTAAAAGTATCGTCTTATTTTATGTTACCTAAATGTAAGTCACATACATGTACAGTGTAAGATTGCAAGGAGATGCGTTTGTGTGTAATATAGATACATGAATAGATAGAAACACACTCGATCTCTATTGTCTGTAACAAATCACTCGATGCCAGGAAAGCACATGAGATGTATATTTATATTACGTTAGATTTAACTAAATTATATTCTGTGTATATAAAGAAAGAACTATATTATAATATTGTTTTATATGAATATAACACGATGTGCTTACTTGTCTGTGAGATATACTAAATAAACTTCACATTAACGCATTATGCAATGCATGTAATCGATATGTAAAGATTTGAAAACGGACTTCCTATTTCGAATACCAAATTTTCTTTAATAAATAGAGTTCACACGTTTTAATTATATATACATATTTTGTTACAAGAGAATAACATCTTTCATATATGAAGGAATATTCACTTAAAAGGGGCCACCACGTGTTAAGAAAGGGAAGAACGGAAGATACCGTCCCGTTTGCCAAAATGCTTCTAATTTAATAGCGAAATACTAATTTTGTTGAATAGAGAGCCTGTTTCACACATTTGCTGTATATATTTGTAAACACGTTCTAGCTTTTTTAAACTACGGTTTAGTTACAGTTTATTAATTAATTTCTTAATAGTTTCTTATTAAATTCAATCGCTGGAATTGGTAAAATCTTCTTCTTAGTAATTTGTAATACACTACTTTCTTGTTAATTTGAGCATTGTAACTTTCATCGATGTATTTCCATCTACACAGTGGTTCTATTTATATGATAACGAAAAATCCGACTTTAATTTATGTTCATTTATAATTGTGTTCCAATTTAAAGCACATGCGGTTGTATAATAAAAATAAAGCGAATATTTATAAACCCATAGAAGTTTTATAAAGCAAGTATTCAAACGATCCTTTCGTAAATAACTGTATAGTAAAACGATTATCGTCAATAAATATCATACTTTCTATTCGTATATTTTTCAAGCAAAAATTAAATTCTATTAGCGTTTGAGATTGACAAATTTTGCAGCTTGCAAAAAAATTACTGAAAAAAATAACATAAAATTTCACAGATTGATATGACATTTTGAACGGTATGTTCATATATATAATATTGTGATATCAATAACTGATAATATATAAAGATATTCTTTTTAAAGAAACACAACAACATATAACTTACAAATAGGGATGTGACAACAGTAGAGCTTTTTTTTTTTATAATAAAAGTCGACTTAACATAATTAACAATATCAGTGTACTCTTAAAAGTATCTGATATATTATATTAAATATATACTATCTCTTATACGTATGTATCTACGTTTTCCAATATCCAAAGTGACTGTTTGTTACACAAACTTATCGATTCTGTATGCGCTTTTATTATAAACAGTACATGTACCGTTCTATCAATTTGAGTATTTAGGTAAATTATTAATTAGTACAAATATAAAAAGAGAAAAACAAAATTATTAGTATTTAACAAGGCTAAATAAAAAGTAATATCGAAAATAATGTATACCATTTGAAACATCAATATCACTGGTGATTGAGAACGGTTCCATAAACGTCACACGCAAATGAAAGCTGTAGTATGCCAATATAAGTCTTGGATAAGCTATATGATTATCTCTATTACAGCTTGTTAACTTATATATACAATCGTATATATATATATAATTTATATATATATATATGCATAATCATAGTAATGCTTATCACAACGATGTACTATTTTCCTAAGAGAATCGATATATTTAATTAACATTCGATTAAAAGTATGAAGACAAGTTTTACGAACAGCCAACATATGTCTAATACCTATTCTTAAAATAAAGTATACATATATTTTATATATGTATGTATAAAACACAATAGAGTCAGATAGTTTAATCACATAAAATAAATAAATTTTTAACATAAAATAAGATCGAACCTCGATATAACTCTTTCACGATTACCATTTCCATTTTTTCCTTTTTTCTTGAGACATACGTACAGCTTCATTCAAACAACAATTACACTTTATCTTTTCTAATGTAGTAAACAGATCTCATAAATCTTTTAAATAACGTGAAACGAAAAAAATTGGCTCACACAATTGTTTTCATGATTGTTACAAAGCTCGGAAAAACAATTTAATAGTCGATTTTATAATATCATGCAAACGGTTTATTTTGCTCCAGTTAGTGATCCAAACCAAATGACTAAATATTGAATGTACTTGAATCATGCATACAATGACAATAAACACAAAACATATTTTGAAGCCTTTTTCAGACTCAATAATAAACACCAATAATTTAAAATGATATGCATCAGGTAATTTATTTCGACTAAAAATCGTTTTACAATCAATCATGTTAAATTAATTACTCCGCAGTCGATCACTCACTAAATAGGCACTCAAATTTTCATGATCTAAACAATTTTTAATTTAGTCGACTAAGAGGATAACCTGAATACTTTTCACTGTAAATCTTCCCCAGAACTATGGGGCGTGTCACAAATAATAATCAGACTCATTACGGTACTTCTAATAAGATTTATAAGATGAAATCTTTTATGAGATCTGTATGCTAGAAAAGAAAAGACGCGAATATTGTGAAATTCTCAGGAAAGGTATCGACTTCACCTGAACTCGTAAATTTGTATACTGTGCTCTGGAACATGTCTCAGATTCAAGGATTGATACCTGAAATAACATACATAAAATTATCATTTTAATCATTCCATATTGTACGTTCGCGATATAAATTTTTCCTTAAATACAGTTATTATATAGTTAGTATATCCCGAAATCAAATATCATCAATTAGAGATCTTTAGTGTTACACCTACTTTCTAACTTATAATACAGCGTTTTACCATTCGGAACTACGATGATAATAAAAGCCTTCTATCGTGGCGGCGGATTTCTGGAAGCAAATATAGTAAAATCCTGCGAAGGAGGCACCATTGATATCTTTGATCGTATGATCGGGTACCAGAAAGTGTTCCTTCCACCTCATAAATACAAAATCCGTTCCTTTAAGTGCCTCGTAATCAAATGTATCGGAATTGAATGTTTTGGCATATTGGCAGAACGACTCGAATTTACTCTACAATAAGAATGAGAGAAACAAATACAGACACATTATTGGCGATAAACTACATATAGCAATAGCTTGAGCGATAAGCTTACGAACCCAGTGTTTCTTGTCAACATCTTCATCAGCATCCCACTTGCGAGTCAAAAAGGGATACTTTTTCGAGATGATTTCGCCGTCAAAGAACGTTGTTAGTGTCGGAAACTCCTCCGTAAGACCTTTGATCTTCAGGTATCCACAGAGATAACTGTTTTCCTCGTCCACATGCTGCAACGGGACAAACGCGATATGATGAAGAATTAAACTGATCCCACCCCATAAACAATCCAGTTCCAGCTTACGTCAACTTAGATTGTACGCAAATATGCGAATCATCCGCTGCAAGGAGGAAGGGAGGGAGGGAGAGAGAGAGAGAGAGAGAGAGAAGATGAAGAAACGATCGTCTCAGGCAACCTCGCTGTCGTCGAGAGAGCGTTCTCTCTACGTTTGTGTCGACGGGATCACAATGATCACGATCGCCAATTTGTGGCGCAATTTACGAAAAATGACGACATAACAGCGATGCGGACAGCGGTGTCGGGGCAGGGAGAGGGGACACGGCAAGGAGTGCACGACTAACCTGCAAAACCACCTCCACGTCGTAGCTGTTGCCCTTGGACTTTTGCGAGCCTTGGAAGCGTGAACCGTTGTACAGCAAGGATTTGGTGACACCCGGCTGCTTCGAATTCGCAGGCGGCGGAGGCACCACGTCGACCTTCACCGGCATCCTTGCACGGCGTTGCCCCGAGCTTGCGTGCAGCGCGACGTTCAATTGTGGTCCGCGGCGACGACGGCGACGGCGACGACGGCGACGGCGACGACGGCGACGGCGACGACGGCGACGGCGACGACGGCGGCGGCGGTGACGACGCGCGACGCGGCGCCCCGCATATCACGATAGAGTGATCGTGTCGCAATGACTGCCGGTAAACCGCGGGGGTACGGACGTTTTTATGCACCGAGCCTCGAACCCAGACCACGAGCGGGTCCGAGGTGCACTTGGTCGCTCCCCCCGTAGGCGAGGATTTCTCTCCCAAGGGTGTTGCAATGCGCCTCGCGCCGTCCTTCCTAACGAACGCCGTTTCTTTCTCGTACGTCCTTTCTTTTGCGTGAAACGAAATAAAACGAAACGACTGAAAGAGGAAAACTCGAACGAGAACCAAGCGTCCAAAGTTGCCCGCTCTCGGGACGACGAGCGCCGGAAACTTGACGCCGGAAGCTCTCCTCGGAAACATGGCAGCCGTTTGAATCCGTTTCGAATCTGAATGAACGTGGAATAAACCCGAGTGAACAATGTTATTTTTACTTTATTGTTAAATCAATCCGCGCGTAATCATTCGATAATTAGTTACTTATTCGGCAATACGTCACTATAAAGACGAAATACGTTTTGTAAATGGATGATATCTCCAATATTCTCACAATTGAAAGTAGGTATATGATATAATTATTATTAATAATATGATATCAGCAATTGTGCGAGACTAACAATAACAAAAGAGTAACAAAATTAACGATAATTAGCTACTTAATTTATTCAATATTCTTGCTGACAAATTGCATGCTTTGAAATTATTCTAAAATTACCAAGTGAAATTGCAAAATGACGTAATTGTAAATAGGACATCGTTTTACAGCTGCTGGCAATTTCCGTTTTCCAAATTAGACAAATTGGACGGATTTAAGACGTTGCACTGACCAGCCGCCCCGCGGACCCAACCTGATCCGCTTTCCCTTTAATGTCAATTGATGCCAATGCAAGTATGGCGGAATTTGGCGATACGAACTCGCACGAGATGACAGAGAATCATGTCGGTAAGCGGTGCAATAATCAGTGGGTGCGACTGAACGTGGGCGGAACGTACTTCCTGACAGCGAAGACCACCCTGGCGAGAGATCCGAATTCGTTTCTCTACCGATTGTGTCAGGAGGACTCGGACCTTATTTCGGACAGGGTTAGTTGACACTGTTTCTTACCGGGAATTTCAAACGAACCCGTTCGACCGATCGTCGCGTTTTATCGTCCACATTGACGTTGAGAATGACGACGAACTTCTCCCCCACAACGGTGATCCTTGCACTTCCCCTACCGAAATACGGTGAATAACTTTCCGTTTTGTTTTCCTAAGGATGAAACGGGAGCGTACCTGATAGATCGCGACCCCATGTACTTCAGTCCAATCTTGAACTATCTACGCCATGGTAAATTGGTTATCAACAAGGATTTAACGGAGGAAGGTGTGCTGGAGGAGGCAGAGTTTTACAATATCACTGAACTGATTCGGCTAGTCAAAGAAAGAATCATTCTGAGGGACACTCGACCACAGAGGGATTCCAAGAAGCACGTCTATAGAGTTATCCAATGTCATGAGGACGAGCTGACACAGATGGTGTCCACAATGTCGGATGGATGGAGATTTGAACAGGTATTTCAAATGAACACAACTATTTCATTGATATTTACTTTATGTTATATTAACTAATGATATATCTATACAAATTCACCGAGCCACATAAATATATGCATAAAGAAAATTATCCAATCATAAGGACATCCATAAAATATGATTGGATAATTTTTTTTATAAATAGATTTACACGGCTATGTAAGTTTGCATGGATATATCCTAAAATTGAGTTGCAAATTGATTTACATAATGTCAATATTAATAAATAACGTAATTCTTTTGAGCATTTTATAAGCTTATCATAACAACGAAGAATTTATATAATTAAAAGAGTTAAATTATTTATTAACACTGAAAAGTTATAAATCAATTTGCATTAAATTGTAGTCTGATATGAGCATAACACAGTGAATCATTACATTCTTGTTGTTTGTTAATGTTAAACAAACATGAAATAATCATTATGTTATGCTGTATCTCTTGCTGGAAAGTAATTATTTATGCAATTTCTTGTGTACCTGTTATTAGCGACTTGCAATGGTATTTCTTCTTGTTTTCTTTAAATATAAATGCTGTTTTCCTTCTGTTTTATAGCTAATCAACATAGGTTCTCAATATAACTATGGCAATGATGATCACGCGGAATTTTTGTGTGTGGTAAGCAGAGAATATGGACCTAGTCAGCTCAGTAGTAAAGAAGAGGAATCTACGGATCGCGTCAAGGTACCGCTATCCTATTCGACTGTCTCCCATTCTTATTTAAGTCAAAGTAGCCATGGCTAATGCGATCATTTTTATGTTTTTGTTGTACTCAAACTGATATATGATAGTCGCAGGTTTATTAGTTATTCAATCACGTTTTTACTAAGTACCTTCACCATTTTTAAGTAAAACCATGTATTCCCTTAATAATTTGTGTTGGTATTATTGTTTTCCATGTTGGATCGCATGAGATATTTATTAAGGCAACAAACATCTATTTACTTTCATGGAAACGCGAATGCGTCTTGTCCTGTCTGAATGAAAAGATATTATAAGTTTCTAAGCACTCCATAAGGGGAATTTGTTATAAGCTGAAGATCTACTCTTGCAATCCAACATTGATTTTTCTTGATTTCTAACGCTATTGTGAAATATAATAACACATCTTTTAATCAGCTCTAATAAGATAAAATTTTAAAAAGCGGTATTATTTTTGGTATTAACAATTTGCCTCTACTGATGGTTGGATTGTGGGTTGGGTAGAAAACCAAAGATGAGCTTTATCACTATATATACGCGATAAAAATGATTTATATACACATTATTATGAGATTGAATTTTATCTCATGTTTTATCACTTATGCTTAATTCAGCAATACATTTCTCTATACATTTTTCTGCAATAATCTTGACGATTGCTTAGAATTGAATTATTTTGCTTAATTGTTTTATAAAGGAGCAAAACGAAAAGGAAAACAATTATATTGTAGACGTGAAATGTTCAGTAACAGATCTTATTAGGCGGTTTAATATTTTCTTCAGATCGAATTTGGAATAAAAATCAATCGAAAATTTTTATTTTGTTTTATATGTATTTGTATATACATATATATCTATACAATACACATGGGCTTTGTGTGTGTGTGTGAAGTATTATATTTTAAATCCGTATTAATTGAAAAGAACCGTCTAATAATCTGTAAAACTCAGAGGCCTGTTCGCATGAGCATGTTCTGCCTCTGATATTTGTTGTATGTACCATATTATTATTATTATTATTATTATATTATTATTATTGTACCGCATGCCGTTCGTTGAATAAAGAATTTTTATTTCATTGGTTTGTGGTTATATATACTTTATGCCCCGTGACCTGCATGAATCATTATTGCATGCCAAATTATTCATCATATATTATATCCTTTATGCGACATAAGAGTGAATTGTCCACAGTGTATATTTTATCACCAAGATAGCTTATGTGCGGTTTATTTATACAATATAGAAAATAGTATTAAATTAATGTATATACTAATATGATATGGGTTTGCTTTTCGATAAAGGTAGCTTTGGGGAGTAAAGTAGCTATAATTAGATAGCGTATTGGTATTTCTTATTTTAATGGTTTATGGCAACGATATGTTACAGAGGTGAAACAGTTTTTTTTTCTATATAATAAAACTGTATAATTATCTCTCAACTTGCCATAATAGATCTTGAAATTAGTGTTAAGTAGCTGTAAGTAAAATCAGATTAATACTATTTTATTAAGTTTAGATTATTGAATTACATTCTAGGTTTTGCAGCAGAAGGGTTCACGTATGTAATGTCTAGATCCGTCCTTGTTTTTCCTTGCCTCCTTTAGTTTGATCAGCTGCGCTGCAACAAGATGAAGACTGTTTTCGTTTTTATATTTAAAGTATTAAATTGTAAAACCCTTTTAAATACTCTTTTCCATTATATTCTCTCTATTCCTAGATAATGTTAATCTACAGGGACATTACAGTGCAAAGGATAAAAAAATTTTATAGACATGTATTTATTACATAGCAAGATTGTACATGAAGCTTTAAAAACCGAAAGTAACACATTATTATTAATTTATTCCTCTTTATTAACAGTGCCCAGAAGACGAAAAGAAAAAAATGTCGATCTCACGAACGGAATAGTTTAATAATTTCATACAGTTTATATATAGATAATCGCGCGCGCGTGCGCGTTATACGACAGACACAAAGTAAAAACCTTCCTTTTTCTATAAGCACATCTATCTGCTTTAAAAGCAGATATGATATATATATATATAAATATATAAT